ATTGGCATCTATGCCATAGGCAGAAGACAAAAGGTCACGAGACTCTGTTCTAGTTATTATAATAATAATAGTAACCAACATTTACCTGCAAAAACGGGTTAACTGATGCGGAAATCTATAAAACTGTATATGCTAGCAAAAATGGCAAATTTAGACTTAAAATATTAAAAATCCTTGCAGCAACAAAGTATGCGGCAATAAGAAAGACTTGCCAACAAAGTCGCCAGGATTACAGGACTCTAACTGTCTGATTTCCGTGAAGTTGAACTGCAAATCTGGAACTCCTGCATCGTCGCCATCTTCGCAGGGCGTGATTTTCGTATCACTGATAAGTGTCATCTCGTAGTTATTGTTGGTGGTGTTGTACTGTTTGTTGGCAGGCTTTAGGGTAGCCTTGCTGATGAAGTAAGCCTTTTGGACCTGAAAATATGCCGAAAGTGTTTGAGGTCTGATCAAATTGCAAACATGCGTTATTTCTTAGGTAATTAGGATGAGAAACACCTAGTTCGGTTGAGAACATAGGCACAGAGTGGATAGAATGGCACTTTTTTGCTGAAAATTTTGATATTATCATCAAAATATAGTTCTCTATCCATCTATCAATAAGAACATTTGAAGTTATCCAAGAACCACCAAAGAAAATCTTCAATGGGAAAGGATTCATAAAATGTTTGGACAGGGATCAAATGCAACCCAGTTACCTTGGAGCTTCGAAAACCACAAATTTGCATTTTAAAAGCCGTAGTCTGCGTCATTCTCTCGAATGGCTACTAGCCTCAGATCAGACGATGAAGATCGAAAATGCTTAAGATTTTAACAACTTCTGCAGTGTAAGGAGATTATTGCCGGGGTATATCTACATGTTTGGTACTGAATACCGATAGATCTCCTCAGAGAGTGACGCGATAATTGCGTCCGTCAAACTTCCATAACCCCTTAATTTTTCTTATAATCCTGAGTCAGACACAGTAAAGGATGTTGAATGACCGAAAGCGTTTAACTATTACTTATACATTTTTAGAGATACAGGAATTTAGAAAGGTCGGATGCACATTTTTGGAGTCTTGAACTTGGTTGGTTTGTAAAGAGTGCTTAAAATGTTTTTGACTTTAAAAGGCTAAAAGTACTTTATGCTGAACGAAAAATGAGGCAAAACTGTTCATGTGGGGCCCCCTGAATATATATTCCCCTACCCAGCTGCCTAAAGTATTTTATGGTCAAACATTTGATTCTTGGTAAGTGAGTGTAAATGAATATTTAATTGTGCTGGAAAAGATCAAAAAATATTAACGTAAAGAAACTTGTTTCTATGCCCATAAGATAATCAAATCCATTCTCATAAGCTCCTGCTACTCACGATATTGATATCAATTGAAAGGAATGTGACGCTATATTGGCAGAATTTTACGAAAAAAGGAAAGTCGGGTTACTAGAGATGTAAAAAAGGTTATTGTTATAAGTCAAAGGCAAAAATGGCCTCTAAAGACGGTCCTGCCGATAGTGATAAATGCACAGGGTGTGAAGGGAATAATTTTGGAAGGATGTTTTCTGAACACTGGTGCGCATTTGATCCGAAAGACCGAGAAACTACACGCACTTACCTCAATAAGGTCATAAAACTTGTCGACCTCAGCATTAAATGCAGTCACTCGGATTTCTCCACTCTCATCCAAGAGGGTGAAACTAAAAAGTTTTCCCTCGCGGCCATTTTTGTTCCATGGTCTAATAGTTGCCTTCTGAGATACGCGCGCACGGATGGTCCAGCGGCTCTGGTAAGGATTAAGACTTGCGATTGGAAAGATGCGTTCAGTGCCAGATCCCGGAGTTCCAGATGTGGAGGGATCGAACGAAGAAGATGACTTGGGAGGTGTTTTTGAGGTTCCTGGTATACTGGTTATCGTACTGGGTACTCCGACATTTGTAGGGACCTGCTTAAACGGTGCTTGCGCTAAAGACGAACGAGGAAAATGCAGAAAACTGTGGATGGGACCAGGAAGATATGTATGCCGAAAATTTATAAGCCGATTAGGTAATATAAACCAGTGCAGGAGACGACCACAAAACCTAATAAAACGAGGAAATAATTGTACCTAAGACATAAGAAATGAAGTGTAGTCATGTAAAAAGGTTTGCAGAGCCAGCGTGATCACAACTTTTGAGACAACACCGGTTTAAATGGAATATTTCGAAGTGACTGTACATATCTATGTTAAGTTGCGCTGCTTGTCGAAGCAGGAAAATAGAAAAAAGGCATAAGAGCAGATTTATTATTGCAGGTAATCTAATGAACGACTTGGTACGTAAACCGTGATCGCAACGCTCCAATGTGAAGCGGCAGAGTCTCACAGGCGTTCGAGGCTGACATAACGGTAAAAAATATATTGCTAGTTTGGTAACCTTTAAGGCCTTCGGTGTTCGGAAAGGGTTAGCCCACAGGGCTGTGTACGCAACAAGTAAAGAGCTAGTCTGGTAAATATTACTCAATGAAGTCAAAGTTACGATTATAAGGAAGAGCTATTGATCCCTGCTACGACCAAGAGGGAAATGGTAGACAGTGATATAGATTAGCAAAGAGTCCATAAAGGAATATGAAGGTTTGTATGTGGGCAATTTCTGAAGCATGAAGAGAAGAACATGCGCACTCACAAGAATGCTGCATTAAGTGTTACGTGAACTAAGTAATGGGAAAGAGAGCGGGTGCAAGGGAGCTAAGTGTAAAAATCCGCCATCATAATCTCTAAGCAGCTGAACACGAGGTCGACTGGTCAGGTTAACGGATACTTGTTTGCGCCGCCTACTTCAAAGCTAAACCAGTTCTGCAAGATTAGCTGACCCTTAGCCTGCACCTCACATGTCCAGTCTAGGTTTGTTTACGTCTTTATGCGAGTGAATTCGCTACCCCGCGGCTACCATAATGACAGTTTAACCATCGTTTCTGACTATGCACACGTGGTCCCCGCAGCAGGATGGACATAAGGACGGTAAGTTTAGTTCAGCTGTGCAAGAATCTATTGTAAGTCGACTTTTGCTCCACCTATCGCGTTTTCTCTCTTTCCTCATAATAGACTTGGTGTTATGACAAAGTGAAACCGTTCGTCTCCGTGGACCACAGACTAATACCTGCGTTATACTGCAATTGTCTTAGCAAGGTAAAACGTTACACGGCGAACTCCCACATTCACGCTATATCATAAAACATTCCAGAAGGATTGGAAGGGAAACCTCTATTTCCCTAGGAATGTGAATAGCATGTTTCAAATGTAAATATTATTCAACACACTGCGTGTTCACAAAGCACTGATACTGATACGTTAACGTACCAAGCGAATCTGCAGACGCATTGTCCAGAACTTCGGCCTCAAAAATGACAATGACGTACCTAACGGGATGAAATAGCAGGAAGTAGAAGGACTAACTTGTCTTGTTGGACGTTGTTACAGACATATCTTTTCACGCGAATGACACTGTTGGTGACAAGTTCTTCGTTTTCGATAAGGTAATTGAGCTGAATGGATAGCATAGCAACTACACGTAAAATTAATAAATACAACCTACATGAATGGGTTGTAACTCCATCGCTTAACAGTAAACGATATCTATTTTGTCCTGGAGCATTGCCTGGAACGTTTTTAAATCCCTAGAGTAGAGCTCAAGGAAATGGAAGCTATTTACAATGACTTTAAGAATTGGATCTGTGACGGTATCACCGGCAATGATACTCTGTATAAAAGGAATGGATTTATGTGTTAATTTACACCTACATCAATAGCTCCAGTAGTCAAGGGGAGCATTTTGAGTTGTACGATGCCGAAGAAGTTGAGGCTTAAAAAAACAAGAACGGATAAGAGGCTTGAAGACGCTTCAGTCGTTGGAGGTCTGAATAGGGCTGATAAGCGTGAGACAAAGCATAGAAAAAAGTTAGAGCGTATGGATACGAATCTACTGGTAAGTAACGTTTACGTACAGGATAATTAAATAACATATAACACAGGATGGAGAAATGGGCAAGACGCGTGGCAGCTCACTGTGCCACGCACGTATCGATGTTTGCATTAAATCACGGTGGTAGATGCT